ATGATTTATGGCCGCTGTAGCCAGGGTGACTTTTTGTTATAAAACCCCTCTCTTTCTTTCTTGTCCATGTTTCCTGGACCATAACTACATGTGATTGGCATCTCATGCCTGCTGCAATACTGTATCTGTGTTTTGCCCACTCCTTCTAACATTCACTTGGTGAAGGTGGATGGTGTGATGTTTGTCTTTTGATGCTTTTGTTGAGGGGTTTCCGAACAGTAACACGACATTGTTGAATCCTGGGCAATACCAGTTTGAACAGCCTTACCCTTCCTTTCTGAGTACGCTAGAGCAGCGTGATAATCACGATGTCCGTGTTTTCCGATGATATGAAGTTCTGCGGGGATACGGAGCAGAATTATCCCGTTTTGTCGTTTTGGCCGGGCCATACAGTTACCATCATTTGAGTGATGAGGTCCCACGCAATTTGAGCACTTTGACACCTTTGCCTGGCACTCTGATGTCTCATGGGTTCCCCCACATCTCCCACATCGTTGGCTCCGGGTGCAGGAACGCGTTGTGTGGAATCCCTAGCAACGTTGGCATTGCTCGATCGGTCGTCGGCGTGAGAAGGGAATTGCCGGCCCGCTCTTGTCGAAAAGACGGAATTTCGTTTTCCCTGGTCACTGTTGGAAATGTTGTTGTGCTGGCTCTGTTGAGTTGTTAGGAGACGGGGAATGAAGGATGGACCGCTGTATTAGGAAAGGGTGGAAAGTACAGGCTGGTGCACAGACGCTGTTCATGTATTCTACAATCACTTCACCTGCCGAGTTTAGTGAATCAATCCATCCAAACAATATCATACTTAACATCATCCATTTGATGATATTATCAATCGTCGGGATGCACATCTAGCATCACCTTCATAGATCACCATTTGATACGCACTCAGTGTTCATCGTGCCATCACCCAACGTGAGCGCGCCATCTCCGCGACTCACCATTGCACATGAGCCCGTGCCACTCCACCGACGGACAGCAGAGTCATAATTACCGTACACCTCACAACTCATAACCACGACAAATGTACAATCCAGCTCGTTAACTATTGTTCAAGTTTTGTTTCTGTGGGCTGTACCTGGATTGGTGTGGCGCCACATACTGCCTGGCACTCGTTCATCATTTCGTTGGTGACTGGGATACTACCTTCAAGCGTACTTAAGTACAGTAGCACATGAGGTACTATCAATGATGTCCATTTGGACGCTTCGTCAATCACTATGTTGTCTTTCTGTAAGGACGGTGCAATCCCAATAATTGTGTCTCTCAATACATCTGACGCGCATTCGAGAGCGATCCCCGACCTGACTGGGTACATGGACTTGATAGCGGAAGTTGCTATCCCAGCCTTGTGGGTTATGATTTTCTGGACAGTGACTGGCGATAACTTATGTCAGTGGTGATCTTTCCTCTGTCGTAGGAACATGCGCTTGTCCTCTTTCGGGGCTGTCTGTTGGAGCAGGACTTCGCGGAACTTGCACGCTTGGAGGCGTCGATAGCCTAGCCGCTTTGCGGACTGCTGTCGCCCAGGGCGAGCTATTTTCTTGGGGCTTTGAGGGTAGGGCGTGGCTATGATCCTCAATAGCTATATTGTCTCTAGGCGCGATTGGTTTGAGAGTGTTTGCCATGGTGTGGTGTTTCTTAATATGAAGGGGTTTTATTTCTACCTGATCTACTGCAAAGCCAGATATGATAGGCGTGATCTTTTCTATCCGCATCGCGACGACTGCTGCTGTTCGCTTTTCTTCTTTTCTCTTAGCCCAATAGTCGGTTAATTTAAGAAATTCCTGTGCTACGTCAATCTTTCCTTATTTTCTTGTTCAGCTTTTTGCATTGCATTTACGATGTCGAGCAGGCTTGGGTGAAGTTTTTTTTTATTCATTAAGTGTATGCAGCATAACTAGCCATGACACTATTGGGTGAAGTTGCCCTCCTGAGTTGGAGGGCGTTGACGATGACGATGCAACAGCAGGGGCCATTTTTTTGCTTCGGATTTTAATTGCGTATGCAGCTATATAGCTATGACAAAATATCAAAGAATAGTTCAGAATCGATGATTCAACGTAAAGGAAGAGCACTCATGCCTCGGATTTCACTTGCAAGTACCACTGCGAAGTTATGGTGGCTTTTTCTTCACCCCAAGTCAAACCTCATCCGTGAATACCCACCCAGGGGAACGTCTCAAAAACCCTGAAATATCCAGAAATGCCTCCGTCATCCACTAACTTTCCTCCGCGCGAAATATGAACCTAGATGTCTCCTTCCCAAGTGGAGTAGGTGCCCAGGCTATTCGAACCATACCAGAGAACACCATAGCTGGGGCCATCGCACCGGTTGGTGGCTCTTGAATATAGAGTCATGAGTGATGGGATGTGAGATTGATCGGATGAAAAAAAATTTTATTGTCGTGGTAAATCTTTCACAGTCTTGGAATGAATGAAGGAAAGTTTATTCGTGACGGGCACAAGCTCTGCACTCAAAGAGCATGACACGGAGAAGACTAGCTTCTCCAATGACTATATACGACGATAACTCAGTTTGACATTTGGACTACTCATGTAGTGGGTGCATTCGCTGATACCACTCGAGACCCTGGTGCTAGGCACTTTTACCCTTCCCTCAACCGTTAATATCCACCAAGGGGGAAAATAGGAAAAACCTTTGGCTATGCTATCATGCCCTTGCCATCTTGTATATAGCCGCCGCGCGAGATATAGCCTCACAGTCCTCCCTTTCTTGAGTGGGGTAGGTGTCCAGGCTACCAAGACTTTCATTCGGGGAGATGACGACCAGGAGGCGGACCAAAACATCTTCCATCGTTGCCTGTTTTTAGAGTGTCGGTACCACTATCCCAAATCGTTGCATCGGCGCCCACAGACACCCTTAAGTCGAAAATACTCGAAAAATATGCGTCCCAGCATGCCCATTTGTGACCTCTTCAATCGTTTGTCCCACGTTCCAGCTGCCTGTCCTCCCTCAAGATGTGAAGCCCCATTAGAGTCACGGTCCCCCATAGACCAAGACCCGAGCTTTGTAGATCATGGCCTAAATTCCTCCTTGCGGCTATATATATAATTCATTATCCTGATTTGGCGCCTTGAGGCCCATGCAGGTTTTTATCGGAAGATTTGTACTTTAAGTGGGACAACTCAATTTGACATTTAGAACACTCATACTCAGATTTCATTTGCAGATACCACTCGAGGTTAACCCTTACGGCGTTTCAACCTCTTCCGTGCATACCCAACACAGGGAAAAGCGTGAAAAACCCCGTGGCTGGCCAAGTGTGCTTTCATCATCCCACAAGTACAATACCACCGCGAGAGAGAGTGGTGTGTGGGTCTTACTGGATTTGAACCAGCTTTCTCCTGTCTCGAATGGAGTAGGTGTTCAAGCTACTCAGTATCTACTTAGGGGAACGGCCCGGATAGTGTACCACTGCACCATCCAACCCTCCTTGAGGGTATACATAGCGTCGTAAATGTGTGGTGAGAGATGGCCGGTTTTTGATGAGGCAAATGTCCGATTGCAATTGGAGTAACGCCATTATCGGTATTTGAGGCTAGTTGGTGTGGTAGGTGTCAGAATACTCGGGTGGTATTTATATCAAAAACTTTCTTTAGCAGTAATAACAATTGGTGGTTAACATATATCTTCATTCTTCTCCTCTAACGAAAGCAAACACGTATGTACAGCAGTTATCCCTCTTTCCTGACGCCATTCCTAAACAGGCAACTCATTACTCATCAACATAACTAGTCATCATTTCTAAGATAATACATGAAAGGTAATTAAGTTATTAGGTCATTCGACAGTAAGATTGAGGTGGAGGACTCGCGTGAGAATGTTTGGTCGGACGTTATCGATGAGTCGTCAAATGGAGATGTGCTTGAGGTTGCTTTCGACTTCGATTCGGATGCGATTCTTCTTGGCTATCCCAGATATGCAGAACATACTGAGCGATTACACCGGCACCACTGGAAGGTGAAGAATTCGTTTTTGCCAGCTCATTGACTCAGATAGGACTATAATAATATCTAATATATTCTAATCTCACATAATAGCCTTAAACTTGTAAAGCTATATGTCGGAGCATCTGATCCGGTTAGCCTGAGGTAGGTAAATGCCTTAGGTATACAAGTGGATATAGATGGTATTAACGCTTCGGCTGCGTCCGTCGATTCTACATATACTTCTTGATCAACCACCCTTTCAGCAATACCAACTATATTCTCATTACATTTCATATAATAGAGATTGAACCTGTAATACCAATACTATATTACTATTGCTCGGGTATGGAGGACTTTGTCATAAGTGTGTGTCACTATTACGAAATTTAAGGTGGATCAGGCCATTCATGACCGGATGGTACAGGCTGTAGCCTTGTATATTTATCCGTTACTATCCGGCTGCGGCTATGAACAACCGCGGGCTAGTGGCACGGGAAAACGCGCTTGATGGAGACAAAGGATGTCGCACGCACGCCGTGATAGTCTTCCTGATGTAAAATATGAATTCATTTTTGGACCCATGGTTGTGAACCACAAAAGTGAAATCTATTCGCACCGGATTTTCCAAAATATTTATCAAGGTTGAAACAACATACCACATTCCAGAAATAGTTTCAATAGCTACACGGACTCATCCACTATTTTTGAATCAGCCGACCTTGTCACCAAAAGCGACTTTGAGCTTCAGTCTAAAACCTCTTAAAGAATAAGAGAATTTCATGATATAAATCACCACAAATCCCTTGTTGCCGTACAGCCAAGAATTTTAACATATAGCCCACTCAAATGTATTCCTCTCAAAGGTTATATCTATGACAGTGTTCCTAGCACAGACTTTAAGTGTCATTGAGCTTATAAAGCATCGGTTGTTTGTCTTCTAGGATCCTCAAAACCACTACATTTGTATTAGTCAGTATGAGCTATCGAAAATAAGAATTTAGCTTGCCTTCAAATGCAAAAGTTTTTTTTGTCTGGCTCTTGAGCCTTCTAAACTTGGGCGACCATATTCTGAGTTTTGCAAAGTGGTACGCTACCGTCTACAGTTGCCTTGCATTGATTAACTGTGATAGTATTGTCACCACTCTCTCTTTTAATTATTTTATCCAGCTTTTTCAATTTCCTTGCTTTTGATTTTAATCTGTTGAGCTTTGATCTTAGGCTTCTTGATTGGAGAATCGGATTAAACTCGCCATTTTTTGTTCCTATGGGACTCATTGAACGCTTCTTTTTCCTAGAGACGGTTTCTTGTCGGAAAGTGACTTCGCTAAATAATTTGCTCTTACTCTCAAATACTTTATGATCTCTAGACATAAAGCCTGCTCCGGAAAATGTTCCAGACGAAGAAGAGCTTAAAAAATCTTTAGAATCTATATCAACGAGTGGTATAGAGCTGGTACTGATATCTCTTGCCTTAATTTCATCACCAGGAGATCGTGCACAGTCATTAAAATTTGCTATGGTGCCGAAGCTATCTCCAAAAAGTGAACAAAGCGTAGTTTCATTAACAGCTTTGAGTTCTTCGGTCGTGCCAGAGTTGAAGATATCGGCAATTTTTTCCATGTCGAGGTGAAGTACTCTTAAAGATTTTGCGCCATTATCAGTATCGCTATTTAACCAAATACATTCCTGTCGTTGGCCACCAAGATTCGTGCCCCAGTTCCATTTGAAGCCACAGATTCTGCCAAGGTTACCGATCGGAAGGAATATCTGGTCAGCACGAGCCTGTGACTCGCTGCCTTTGAATATAAAATTTGAGATACATATAGAATTTCCACCACCTTGAACATCAACGGACTTAAAATTGAAGCCGTTAGCAGTCGGAATCGCGTTAACCGGAGCCTCACCGCTCTTCAGGCCATTGAAAATTTTCCTGTCACTCGGTTTGAATGTTCCTAGGGTAAGTATACGATTATTGCGGCACTGGTCCTCAGGATCTTCGCTGGTTCCTTGCAAGACTCCTCTAAATTCGGTTTGCGCAAAATCTCTTAATACAACTGTTGGTGGGTTACCTCCGGCATCAGGAGTATTCCCAATTTCCATCCTAATGTTGTAAAAATCAGAAACATCTGGTTTATCATTGATAGCACTAGCTATAAGTTGTCCAGCAGCGAAGATTTGCAATAATCCAAAGGCAACTTCGACGGCCATGTGTCTCTGAGAAATTTGTATAGGTTTGAAGGAGCTTATTTTATTGAATGAATTTGATCGGCAAATAGAAGATGGAAAATAGGTCCAGATTTTGATGGAAAAATACAATGCGGGGTTGGAGTTGATATATTTCTATGAGCCCTCAAGTTACCTTTTGGCAGAGAAATATATGCGGACTCGAAACCATATTTCCCACCATGGTATGAAACGATCTGTTGTCCTGTGATACAATACACGAGGCTCAAAATAAGCCAAACTCATACCCAATCTGTATTCATCGCGAATAAAACGGAAACTAATTCCTGTGAATCAGACGGTAGAATGACATGACTGAGGCTAGTCTGTATGATGTGTGGCTTGAAATCTCTGCGATATTCAAACAGACTCTCTTCTAGTGGTTTCAGAATTGGTAAAGAGTACATTGCCACCTGTTAGACATGACTAGCCTTCGGAAAATTGTTTGTGATTCTACCGATGCAGAGATGCTGAATTGTTTAGAGATTTGGTGGACTTCGATTAAGCTAGAGATCATGTAAAACTCGATCGATTGACACGCAACAGTGAGCTCGGAGTTATTTTGTTTATCCCAGTGGTTTTAGTTTCAAGTTTAGGATAGAAGTTTGGACCGAAACGTTGGGGGAGCTGGGCTCGTATTGCCAGCAAGAGTCAGGCTAATTCCTTTCCTATCGTGACTAAAATGATTGTTATGCTAAACATCTAGCAGCCAATAGATTTAGTTTCCATTTCAACCTATGTGGCTTCAAGTCTCGTATCTAATATTAAATGAGTCGTGTGACGATTGCTTAAAATTATAACAAGAAAAAGTTATCAGATGAAGTAGGTAGCTTCATGGCTATACCCTTTATCTAGCTCAAAGTGTGTCCGAGTACGTGCGCAACTCTAAGTCACAGGACCCACATCTATGGTTGGTAATTACATGCCGGCATCCTTTAGTATTTTACTCTTTGTGTAACCAGCTTCCTAGATATGACACATTACCCACGGAATTTTCGTCCCTCAGAATCCATTTCTAAAAGTTATCTTGTAAATTTTTTTTTAATTCCCATTGAAATATCCTAGTACAACTTCCTTTGCATGCTGCCATGCATTTGGATGTGTGTAAACATATGAGATCTTCTTATCCTCTCTTTATTCGAAATAATATTGAAAGTGTCTTTGGCTATATGCCCCGAAGAAATCTGTCTTGATATCTGAATTTCGGACTATGTAACAACAGGTCTTGCATATTCTGACTTTTGCTCTCACTAAAGTTGCATAAATTAATATCTTCAACTTCTCCTATCATGTCCAAATAGACTCGTGTATTCCCAGCTCAAAGCCTAGCCCCGAAGAATCCTGACTCTGTCGCTGTGCTGTGGCCTTGAAATTTGAACAGTTTGAAAGAAAGACTAGGTTAGTTAGTCTGCGACTGGATCCCACAGTACTTGCCGAGTATCGAAGTCAAAGAATAACCACTGAAGAAGCTGACCAAGGAAATGTCATTCGTCTAAAACAGGGACTTTGCAGGCTTACGCATGATTTCTTCGAACAGTGCTTGTATTCCATATTTAGAACCGCATGTTATCAATTCCTATGGGGACTGAACCAAACACCTGTCAGTGGTGTCCCCTAGAAGCCTCTAGCTATCGCTGTAAAGTCTACAGAGCCGAGATTGAGTAACATAGTCCTCACTTCGATGAAGATTCCCAATCGCCTTTGCGGTCTGTATCATCTTCATACCTAAGCACATCCCATCTATCTCCATTATCATGAAGCTAACCACGATCATGTCAAATGGTGGCGTCTAAGCTCTATTCATCACCAACCCTTGATCATGGAGAAGCCATCCGATAAATTTACGGAGCGTATCCATCACCCGATGCAGAAATGGCGGATTGGATCAAGTTGACTTGAAAGTTACGAGAAAGGGAGGTAAAAATGAATATGCGCACCTCATGTGGTGCCGGTGTAATGGCTCAGTATGCTCTGCATATCTGGGATAGCCAAGAAGAATCTCATCCGAATCGAATTCGAAAGCAAACACATGCATATCTCCATTTGATGACTTCTCAATCGTGCAACACTCACCATTATCTTCTTAGTCCTCAACCTCTTCCTTACAATACATCATCTCGCCTCGACGACCGATAGAGGCGTCACCCCAATTGCAAACAGGAGCTTGCCCCATTGATTATCGGCCATCACTCACTATATTTTTACGACGCTGTGTATACCCGCAAGGAGGAAATCAAGTCATAATATACAAAGTTGGGGTCTTGGTTTATGGGGGACTGTAGCTCTAATGGGACAAACAACTTGAGGGAGAACAGGCGCCTGAGATGAGGAGCATGAGGGGGAATAGTTCTCTGAAGACCATGCTGGGACCGACATTTTCGAGCAGTTTTCAACTTTGGATGATTTGTGGGCGCCAAGACTAAGATTACGGCTAATTAGCCAGGAGGGCTACTATTGTCGATGAGTCAACGGCACTTCCCAGTGCCCTGGACGGCACAAAAGAAGTTGACTAAGCTACCAAACAGTAATCACGCTCTGTCAAGACTTTTCTGACATTTCAGCACGACCTTCGGGAAGGAGTTGGATGGAGGCTAGAAAGGTAGAGTGTGAATTTCCCGAGGTACCCACAAGTCTGCAGCGCTCAGCTGGCCGGCCTCTTCGAACGCTTCGGACGGATCACTATGTCTTCGGATTTAGTCCTAATGTCAGTGTTAGAAGAGCTCCGCACCCAGTAGTTTTTGCGATTCTTCCCGGCTGCCATACACCCGCAAACGGCCATCGTTTCGTTGGCTGGAGAGGGGAGATAATGAAGGGCTAAGGGCCCCTCTAAGTGTATGATCGAATGAGGACTTGTGAGGGGTAGTACTGTTTGAGGGGAGCTGTATGGGAGGCATAGGAGGGGATATACTACTGGTATAGGTATCCTTGACCTGTCGACAGAGAGGACCTTTATATCCTACGTAGTCATAGTCTCAGAAAGGAAAATAAAATGAAAAAAGGAAAAGAGATTTTCTAGCGCGTTAACGGCCTCACATCAATTTAACAGAAACAACCATGCATTTGATGTCCATTTAGGCTCCAGTTACTCAAAACAGACCACGAAAAAAGGCAGTCTCAAGAGGGGGAAGGCTGAACACCTGTCAATGATGTCCTCTACGATCTTGGGAGTGAAATATTCTCCCAAAGCCGAGACTCAGTCACGAAAAAGGGTGGGATGAATCTTATTTGATGGATTTTCGACTTGAAGGAGTATGTTATATTAACTAGGCTATATAGGAGCAGGACGATGGATACTCTTGGGGAAGTTATGCTCACAGTAGGTCTCTATAATCACTATCGCGTGTGTTCTCGTGATACGTAAGACTTGACTCTATATTCTCATATAAAGAAAACTTAATTACAACGGATGGATAGAGGTTTTTTTTTTTTGCATCAGATTTTAATTGCGTATGCAGCTATCTAGCTATGACACAATATCAAAGAAAAGTACAGAAAAGATGACTCAGTTTACAAGAGGAGCACTCATGCCTCAGATTTCATTTGCAAGTACCACTGCGAAGTTATGGTGGCTTTTTCTTCACCCCAAGTCAACCCTCATCCGTAAATACCCACCCAGGGGAACGTCTCAAAAACCCTGAGTTATCCAGACATGCCTCTGTCATCCATCAGCTTTTCTCCGCGCGAAATGTAATCTGAGATGTCTCCTTCCCAAGTGGAGTAGGTGCCCATGCTACTCAAACCATACCAGAGAACACCACCAGGAGGCGGACCACAACACCTTCCATCGTTGGCTTGTGTTTATAGTGTCAGCTGCACTCTCACAAGCGAAGTCTTGGCGCGCACAAAGCTCAATTCGTAAAACTCTTTCCAAAATTCGAAATTTCACGCCCGTCGAGACTGTATCCCTCTTCTGCATCATCTTGTAAACTTGTTCTGATCCTTCTCACGTCCGTCCCAAAGAGCTATCTCCCAAAATTGTGCTCCACGCTTTGCTTCCTCCGTCGGGTGTAAATATCGGCGTGGGCGTGTATTTGGTGACCGGCTGAGGCCAGAGAAAGTCGACGAGAGGTGTGGTCATTGAAACAAGGATGTACTAGGTCGTACTTGTAGACTTGATGAAGCTTAGTTGAGAATCGGACTCTTTGGGAGTGAAAGATTGACATGGTGTAGTAATTTGAATTTTTGCCTCGTGGGCCAACTTCTTTGATATTGCGAAATTTGACTGAACTTGGCTCTGTGAGAATATTTCACTCCCAGGTTCGTGGAGAGCACCACTGACAGGTGTTCAGTCTTGCCCTCCGATGGATGGAGGTTGAGACCTCCTTATATCTTGCTCCAGACTTACTGTGTTGTTCACAGCCTAGTGCTAGAAAATTCCCTTATGATATCATTTCTCTCTTACGAGAAATGACCAGCTCGTTCTCTCTCAGTCTATCAGTCGATCCCACAACTGCGACCCACCTCCATACTCGTCACATCACCTACCTACACACGCCCTAATGAGGAAAGTCATGATGGAAACAGGACGTGTACAATGGAGGAAGGAAAGGGAAGATACACCGAGGGGATCGTACAAATCCCCAATGACGACAACAACCCGACGGTACGATATGAAGGTGCAAGGCTAGAGCAACGATGAGATCTTGGACGGCATTTATATTTCGGAGTCAATGAGGATGTCAAGGGCTCGGGCGTGTGGTGGCTGAGGCTGAGGGGGAATTTGCGACACGGCGTATATACAGCGGGTTTCTGGACGGTTAGGCTTGGTATGATTCAATACATAGGTGAAGTCTGAGGTGGTCAGGTCATTAAAGTGGGACGAGGTTTATCTGTGCTTCACGGTAGTTAACCTGATCCGGCCCGACCCCTCTCGTGCTTAAGCTCCAGTAGGTGTGCAACGGTAGTCACTTAACCATGCACGGTAATGAACAAAACAAACATCAAACAAAAAGGTAGTCTCTACAATGAAAGCTGCAGCCACAGCCCCAAAGAGAGACGCTTCGAAGGCGATAGTTGACAAGCGACTATTCCCACGCCTCGATAGCAGCCATAAATGGCGGCAATTATCGCCTGCCTACATTTTGCTCGCGACAGTGCAACAGCTGAACTGCGATGACCAAGTTGGATGCGGCGACAGAAGGAGCGACACGTAAGAAGCGCTCAGCTTGTATGATGAGGGAGTAATTGATTCCTTTTAAGAGTTGTTGAAAATAGAGACGCAGAGTGTTTTGGACGAATGGGCCCCTCATTCCGTCCAGGTTCCCGACAAAATCTTTTTTTTGCATCAGATTTTAATTGCGTATGCAACTATCTAGCTACATCACAAGATCTAAGAATAGTACATAATAGATGACTCAATTTGATAATGAAGCACTCGTGCCTTAGATTTCGTTTGCAAGTACCACTGCGAAGTTATGGTGGCCTTTCCTTCACCCCAAATCAGCCCTCATTCATGATAACCACCCAGGGAAACGTTTCAAGAATATAGTTATTCAGATATGCCTCCATTATCTATTTCTTTTTCTCCGCGTGATATGTGGTCTGAAACTTCTCCTTCCCAAGTGGAGTAAGTGCTCAAACTATACCAAAGAATACAACCAGGAAGCGGACCACGGCACTTTCCATCGTTGACTTGTGTTTATATTTTCAGTTGCATCCTCGCATTCGGAAACTTGGCGGGAACAAAGTTCATTTTCTAAAACTCCTAGTCAAAATTCAAAAATTTCATAATTGGCGAGATAATATCCTTTCTTTGCATCATCCTGTAAACTTTTCCTGATTAGCCTTACGTCAATCCCAATGATATAACCCCTAGATTGGTGTGCCACGCTTTGTTTCGTTCGGAGGGTATAAATACCGGCATGGGCGTGTAAATGGTGACCAGCTGAGGCCAGAGAAAGTCGACGAGAGGTGTGGTCATTGGAATAGGGATGTACTGGGTCGCACTTGTAGACTTGATGAGGCCTAGGTAGAATTTAATCTCATTAGGAGTGAAAAATTGATGAGGTAGAGTGTCTTGAATTTTTGCCTCGTGGGCCAACTTCTTTGATATTGCGAAATTCGACTGATTGATTGATTAATAAATTATTAGATTTGTTGAAATAGGTTGTGTCAGACCAAGTTGTAAGCATCACGTGAAGGTAAAGATAAGTATACTAGGCGAGCATCGCGGGACATTAGATTTTGTAATAATTAGAGACTATCCTTTAGTAATGAAGTTACTACACAACAATCGATCTGCTGCACTACAGTTTAACAATATTGAAATTTAAGTCTCTGCTGAGTCCAAGACTATGAAAGACTTTTTAAAGATCCACCTAAACAGCTCTTTAACTTATAGGTTAGTTTCTAATTTAAATGTTACAATTATATGCCAGTTGATGCTGAGGGTCAAGCCCTTGATTGAGTATTAATTGTCATAATTAGTCTACAACTATGTAAGGACATATAGGTCCTTTCTGCCTGTAGGGCAGGAGTATCTATGCCTCGGGTAGTGTACTCCCTCCTATGCCTCCTTCACGACTTCTTTCCAGCAGTAATACACAGGTCTTCATTCAAGTACACACTAAGAGGAGCCATTATCCCGTCATTATCTCCCCTCTCCAGCCAAAGAAGCGATGGCCATTTGCAGGTGTGTAGCTACAGAGAAAAGTCTCAAAAACCACTGGGTGCGGGGCTCTCCAATGACGAAAAGGCTGGCCAGCCGGGCGCAGCAGACCTGTGTTTACTGAGAGTGTCTCGCAACCGTCCTAGCCTCCTCCTTACTCATCCATTGGTTGATGCCGTAGGACAAACCGAAGGTCGTGAAAGGATGTCAGAAAAGTCTTGGTCGAGAGTGACTGTCGTGAAGGAGCCTATCCTAGCATCCAAAAGTCGTTACGGACGTGGGGTTGTCGAGTAACTCATATATTTCAGATGCCCTCCTGGCTAGTAGATTCGGAGGTATAGATTAGTAGGGACGATATTTTTGACGAGTCGAAATCTGCTTTTCTTGAGGGCGGAAGGGTCTTTAACTTTGCTTTCGTGGGCTTTTTGTTCGCCCGCCGGTGGGTAGCAGATGTTGTGATATAAGAAGGGCTTCTCTGACTACCGTTGTAGCGTCTGGTACCGCATTATCTTTCCTCATTTCCAGCATCATTATCGTCGTCTTGGTCGTCTTATATGTTATCGGAAGCGTATCTTTGACGGAGGGGGTGATAAATCAGCTCAAAGTTGAAAAGATGTTCCCCAATCTCGGCTCTGCAGACTCTATAGTCAGAGCTGGAGGGTCGTAGGGGACACTACTGACAGGTGTTGAGAATAGTTTCCCTATGGGATCAAGCCATAGAAATTCGACTGAACTTGGCTCCGGGAGAATATTTCACTCCTAGGTTCGTAAAAGATACCGCAAATAGGAGTTCATTCTTTGGCTTCCTTGAGAAGCGCTCTTAGGCATGCATAGGTCTGTTGCGACCGGCTAGCCGGCTTCTTTGAAAGTTGTAACGTTGTACCATGGTAATTATGCCTTTGTGTTTGCCCATAATCTTGGCAGTCTCGCACACATTAGTTACCGGGGGTTTCCTTGCACACACACAAAATAATGGCGCTACTTTCCTTGGCTGGAGAGGGAAGGTAATGACGGAATAACGGCTCGTCTAAATGTATAGCCTAATCAAGACCCGCGGGGTATTAGCGCTGGACGGAATTCATGAAAACGGCATGGGTAGGAGTATACTTTCCGAGGCAGAGATACTCCCGACCAATTGGTGGAAAGGGCCTGTATGTCCTGGTCAAGTCATGGACTCCTTGAGGCAATCGAGTTCCATAAATCTATCCGGGTGGAGAAAAGTCACCATATGCACCCAAAATAGGGGTTTTCCATATCCTAGCGTGAACCCCGATAAGTCTCTACACCTAACATGACTAGCGATAATTTATATGGTTCTGGAGCCGCCAAATCCCGTCACGCATTTTCTTGATAACCATCGTTCATGACCATGAGCAATAATCTTGATCAATAATTTCTCGCAGCCCAGGTGCGTAATACTCTAGCACGAACTGTGTTAATACTGTTGTTGCCTTAGTTACAACAGTATTGCCTTCGGATGTGGTACTGGTGAAGGTGATACAGGAGCCTAACAATCATAGGGTTTTAGATGCTCCCCGGCTGCCATTTACCCACACATAGTCATGGTTCTGTCATTTGGAGCTAAAGATTATTGAGTGATGAAAGCCCCTAGTAGTATAAGATTAAATAAAAGACATGAGGATTGTAAACGTTAGAATAGAGTTGTAAAGAAGGCTTTAGAGGACATAAACAAACCGAAGCACAGATATCCGCGGCTCATGGGTAGAAAGGCGTACATGTCCTATTCAGGTATGGATTGAGAAGGGGTAATTAGAATACGATTACTGTGTCAATATTAGGGTCTAGAAGATATTACAAATTACGTAGGAATTATTGAAAGTCTCGCGATAACTTTTATTCCATTTGTTCCGAGGCAGAGAGCATGTGATGCTCTGATTCTAAAATTGAATCAACTAAGTTAAGCCTAGCGTTCAAGATTACTGTTGTTTAGTGTATCGGTTCTCTTCTTCCGATGTAAAGCCTTAGTTTCTATATGAATGTCTAGCTCTCTCATGATGTACATCTATTCTAGTTCTTCACATCCAACTAAAATTGCTCGCCTGTTCTCGTCCGGCAGTTTCACAATCTGGTCTCACCTTTTGCAATTTTCACTTGTTGCATTATCTGTTTATTCTGTTCTCGCGATCCACATATTAATGTGAGCTCGTCGGTGGGCCTATTATTGTATAATAGAAATTTTAAAATACTATCACACTTACATCTCTATCGGTTTCACACCAGCCTATGAATAACGCCTAACCTGGTGTTTTTTCAGAGCAGCGTCTGTCCAGACCGAGCTGGTCGCGACAAACGGCACCCAGCTGCATGTTTGAAGTACCAGAGTTAATGTAAATTAATACTAAGCTATGGAAGGCGACTGGGAGGAAGTAAGTCATGCATTCTCATTACAAATTCACCAAATTACTAAACTGTGATGGGCACTGTTCCTGAAAGGCTACTTTCAGCAGCGATGATCAGAAAGTCTTTGAAAATGTATATCTAACATGATTGGACATCTAATTGACATACTTAATCTTCCAGGTTGGGCGTCTACGTCTTCCGCTATTAAGCTCACAACTTCCCCTGACCCCCGCCACAACGTTTTCTTTCGACACTAGTCAAGAGCTTCTCTGGGTTGGCAATGGATTCGGCCGAGTTTTCGGCTACTATGGCATCGAGCTCCAGCGATACTGCTCTTTTAGGGTTGGAAATGGAGCTGTACATCAAATTCTTCTCCACGAAAAAGGCGTTATTGCACTTACATCAACAGCTATTCATGTAGCTCTACGACGAGGTCCTCAAATATGGCATTTAGCGTACGAATAACTTATGAGGATGAGGAGCAAGGCTGATAAGTTTCAAAATGTAGGCACGAAGAAATGAAAGAGCTTAGGTGCATGAACTACAGCTCTAAAGACATGACGAGAATCTTGGTTGCCGGTCTCCAGGATAAGATGGTTACCATTGATATAGAGAAGGGAATAATTGAGAAACAGGTAATTGTTTGATCTCTACACCCGCCTTCATGGCTGTCTCTAAATCTTCAGACCCACACGGACCATCACTACATTATCATGAAAAGAAGCAAATATATTATTGCAGCAACAGACACGGGATGCGTCAATATACTAGATCCGAAGACTTTCTCTATTCTTAAGACATGGAAAGCTCATGCTTCAGGCATAAATGATATGGATTCACAGCATGATTTTATCGTCACTTGTGGATATTCTATGCGCCAACATTCGATGATGCTCGACCCGCTGGTCAATTGTTTTGATCTGAAGAACATGGTTGCTCTTCCGCCATTACCTTTTCCGCCTGGTGCTGCGTACATACGACTGCATCCTCGCATGTCCACCACATGTATCGTCGTGTCTCAACATGGTCAGGTACACATAGTAGATCTCATGAACGTAAATACCAGCAATATCAAGCAGGTCAACACTTTATCATACATATCAATGACCGAAATTTCTCCATCTGGAGAGATAATGGTGCTAGCAGATACCGATTGCAATATTTATCTTTGGGGGTCTCCATCTAGGGCACGCTTCGCCGAACTAAATAATCCAACGGAATTCCCAGAAGCGGATGAGAGTACCGTCAAGATAGACTGGAAATCTGATACGTAAGTATTTGCCTATTCTTATCCTCTTCTGACGGTAGATAGTCCGTTGAATACCGTTGGTATGCCGTTTTATCGAGAAACTCTGTTGTCCGCTTGGCCCAGCCTCCAAATTTATGAAGTTGGCGCACCACCCCCAAAACACGACCTGCAGCATTTAAATTCCTTCAAATTGACAGAATGGGGCGTTTACGGTCGGAATTCACGCGACTGTCTCAGGAATCAGGTTGTGAGAACTAGGCAAGTTGAAAAATCCAATGTTGCTCTTTTGGCCCCCAAATTTCTGAGCGAAAAAGGCAAAGAAGAGGCAAAGCTGGGCATTACCAGCGAACTCAAACCAATTGTAATGGCAGATGCCGTTGCAACTGAGCTACTAAATGTACAAGTAGATATTCCTATGACTTATCGTGTTCTTGATATAAAGTACAGCAAATATGGTGTCGCAGATTTTGACTTCGGGTTAGTAGATTTACGGTATATGTGATTTTAATAACTTGATATAGGTACTATAACAATACCAATTTTGCTGGACTAGAAACACACGTGCCGAATTCTTACGCTAACTCCCTTCTCCAATTATTCAAACACATTCCTTTACTTCGTAACTTAGCATTACACCATACAGCGACAAGCTGTGTAAACGATGGATGTCTTCTATGTGAAATGGGATTTCTCTTTGACATGCTCGAGAAAGCTAACGGGATTGCTTGTCATGCAACCAACCTACTGAAGACATTAAGCCATCATCCTCAAGGTTAATGGCTTGCCATTCTCTGGAACCCCCGCTGACATTAGAATAGCTGGGCCGCTAGGCTTACTTGAGGAAGAAGTCTCAAGCTCTTCAATATCAACTATGTTGCAGGGTCTCACCCGGTTTTTATTGGATAAAATTGCGCAAGACTGGCGGAGCATCTCACCACAGTCGGCTTCAATCGATCAAGTAAGCCTCATTGCAAAACATCCAGATCTTTCTGACAAGGTTGGAGGTATTGGCCACGACTGCTACAACCTCGATCCGGTGCCTTAACTGTCGCAGCGAACACACAAGGCCAGGCACAACTTTTGTGACTGAGTCACTCTACCCTCCAACTGTATGGGTCTGCCTTACTTTTCCAAATTTACAAGCTAAGCAAAGTAGAAACTAATACTACGAAACGTTAAAAGGCCCAAAGTAACGTTTTCGGAAATTTTGAAATCTAGTGTCGAACGTGAAATTACGAGTAGAGGCTGGTGTAATAGGTGCAACCGATATCAATCACTAGCCACCAAAAAATCAATACATAAATTTCCAGCCGTACTAATGCTTAATACCGCCATTACTAGTTCTGAATCAAAATCCTTATGGGCCACACCTGGGTGGATTCCCGAAGAAATCGGTATCATAGTTGACCAATGTCATTTTATTTGCTTTCAGGGCGACGAGTTAAAACTTCAACTCCAGTGCGGTCTACCAAACCTAAAAGTATACTCATTGATCGGAATCGTAGCTGAAATAAATTCTGGTCACAATCAGAAGCCTCACCTTGTTTCATTCATAAACGGTGAGATGTATAGCACAATTACTGTGCATCCTATACTCATAACATACAGTTGCACACTCTCTTCCAGAAGTAGAACCTCAGAGTCAATGGCATCTATTCAATGATTTTCACGTCAGATCCGTCAGCCCAGAGGAAGCACTAAACTATAGCGCATCATGGAAAACGCCCTCTGTTATTGCTTTCCAGATCAAGGCTGCAAATAATCAAATCGACAATTCATGGAAGAAAAATCTGGATACATCACTTCTCTACTCGGACACGAGGTAAGGCCCAGTACATTATCTATTCTTAGTGGCTTATAGGAAATAGTAAAAAGAATGAGAAGACTTTTCATCCCTTAACGCTTCTTGATGATGTACCCGGAGGAAACACTATCATAGCGCTGGACACTGAATTTGTATCTGTACGACAATCGGAAATTGAAGTCAACGCTGATGGAGAACTCGAAACTATTCGACCAACTGTTTATGCACTCGCTCGAGTTTCTGTCATCCGCGGTTCGGGAGAGAAAGAGGGTATACCTTTTATAGATGACTATATCGCTTCCAAGGAACCTGTCATCGATTATCTTACATCTTATTCAGGAATTGTCAAAGAGGACCTTGATCCACTACTTTCAAGGCATAATCTTGTTCCCTTGAAAGTAGCATATAAAAAACTCTGGATTCTTTTGAACCTGGGCTGTAAATTTCTTGGTCATGGTTTGAGGCAAGATTTTAGGGTCACCAATATACACGTCCCTAAATCCCAAGTAATCGACACGTCAGATTTTTTCTTCATAGTAGCGTTGAAACGTAAATTATCTCTTGCTTTTCTAGCCTGGTACCTCCTTAAAGAAGATATTCAAGTTAAGACACATGATTCGATAGAAGATGCACGCACAGCTTTACGGTTATATCGCAAGTATCAAGAATTTCAAGATGCCGGTGTCCTTGAAACTATGCTACAGGATATCTATCGTAAAGGAAAGGATACCGGCTTTAAACCTCCTACAATCAAAGATGACGAAAAAGTTTTTAAAAGAACTGGGACGCCGCCTATTTTGAATGAGCTAACTCTTCCTAGCACACCTCTAAATAATGTGTTTAACCTGGGCTCTAGTACAATGAATTCTGCTAGGAAGTGTTTTGCTTCAGGTTGGACTCCAGGTAGAGGTACTAATGCGCATAGCTCTCCCCTTTGGTAACGTAGCATGAGATATGATGGCGATGAACTGTAATTTTTCTAAAAAATTGAGTCATCCATGGTGTCCAAAAATCCCTATACAAGCTTGTAAAATCACCTTTAAAGATTCGGAATAACGAACCTCATTTCAAACAGAAAAAATATCAATGTGTGAGGGGCCTTCGGCTCAAGAGAGTTGTACTGTTTCAAAGTCATATTGTTGAACCAGATTAAGGATGGCATGTTTGTGATTTTATGATTAGCGGATTTACAAATTTGGACTTTAAAGCTGAGAATTTGGAAATTTGTTTCGAGTAGCATAGCGATTAAATGCCCCGTATGGCTCGCAAACAACGTAGTCGATTTTAGCGCTGCTTTAAAACCTAGTTAAATCGTGGAGAAGATACCAAAATGAATGAATTTCACCTTTCACTTGAATTTACAAGATCTGATGAGAGATTAGCCTATCTGGTGTTTAATGCTTAAACTACCAAAGTGTGAAGAAATGTTGACGAACGTGGAGTTATTCATTGATCTAAAATTCAAACCCAATTTGAAAGACATAGGGGACTATAAAGTCATGGTATATAGTTCTCTTGTCTTTGTATCTAACCTAGAGCACACCACGACGTATCCTACGAGCCATGCTATGTGCAGCTAGCGTATCTCACATAGAATTAATCGCTACGTATCTTGAACGTATCAATTTCTTGCTGAGTTCTGCTTGTTGCCAGTTCTAGGTCCGAGTGGTTACAACATAGGTGAGTGACATTTTCCACCGGTCATTCGATAGAATAGAATAGAATTTTATTTATGTCCCTACTGAGTCTATGACTATGAAGGACAGCTAAAACTATCTAAATAGCTTTAAAGTTAACAGTAAATTTGTATGTGGTTGTGTTCAATTTTTGCCAATAGATGATGAGGGTCGTACCGGTCATTCGATACAGTACACGATTTGAAGAGGAACTACTTCCACCTCTCAGACCCCCGATGCCAGTGTCGTGAAATGGATAATATTTAGGAGTTATGAATCATTCCATGTATCAAATTGATTAATTTAACGTATCAAGCTATAGCCCTATACTCAGGAGGCTTGACACGGGTGTCTGCTCCTGGAGGTCTCACTTCTGCCACCAACGCTGGCTTTATTTGACCAGGAATTTACATGATTGAAACCAAAAACATCAAGGAAAATTTTTGCTGACCCGACTCGATGCCCTGCGCCTAACGAGCTTTCTAATAACAGTTTACCAGCAACATGTGTTTCCCAGACATCTTTTGACCCTCAAGTCTAGTCTTGTTCGCCGTAGCATTTTGTCACGGTTAGACATCGATAAAATTTCTCTCATCTATTCTCTCACTACAGTGCCCTTCAATCGAGCGCCGTTTCGTGCGCTGAGCTCCGCCATTCTTGTAGTGCTAAGCTGCATTCCGACAAATACCATAGACGTCTTTCTCGGCCACATTTGCACGCACCTTCTATTCCTTCGTGAGGGAACCTTTCATGATAACTAGTGCAGTTTCCGTGACTAGTTCTAGCTACTAACAGACGGTGATACGCTCATCTTGGTAGAGCCAATTCTGGTAGACGTTTTCGTTTCATCATTAGGTCCAGGTCTTTGTCAAGGGATGAATGATCGCGGTCACCAACCGTAGGCTGAAAAGATTTTCTACGGATCTGAAAAAAGGGTTCAAAGTGGAGGGGACCCATATACAAAACTTACTTTTACGGGAGAAATATGGGTCAGAGCGCTTTTGTTAATGATCCATGCCTTGATCTTAGTGCCTGTTCCAACTGCCAAATACAAATGATGAGTAATTGGAATAACTCAACTCCGCCTCTAGGCTATTGCTTCGTTCCCTCACGCTCTGTGTGTAGGCTGGCTCATTTCTCTTGCCACCAAGGCTCGACTGACTCCTCCGCATGTTTTCTGACGTATCGGTTTAGAGCTGCGAAAGTATATCTCAAGTTATCGCTTGGTCTCGATATGGCAATTGCGCTGGAGAAGGCCAGGAGATATTTCAAAGCTAATTTAGCCAGTTTCTCGACATATAAGTTACCGATTATCCCAGACTGGCCTGGCATCCATCATATCTCTGCTGTCCCGTTAAGTAGTAAAGTTGTAAATTGGCCGCTGTAGCTTGAGACAATTTCCTTCGACCGGCTCTAATCGAGTAGACGGCTTCGGGGGGTGTGGTTATTTAAATCATTTAATATGTATTCAGCTATGGAGCTATGACACATGACCGGTGCTATGTATACATGTTGGATGACTCTTTTGACGTTAGAGACACTCATGCTCTGGATTTCATTCGCAAATACCACTATGAGGTATGTTTGCTTACACAAACAGTCGACCCTCCTCCGTAAGTACCAACCAAAGGGACGTTTCAAAACCTTTGGTCATCCATGCATACCAGCGCCGCGAGAAAAATGGTTGTGTTTTGCTGGATTTGAACCAGCGATCTACTGTCTCGAGTGGCATATGAGTCCAAGCTATCCAGACTCTACTTAGCAGATCGGCCAAGACGATGTACCACCGCACCATCCAACCATGGCGGTGTTTATAGTGTCGCCTGCACCCTCGTAACCGAAGACCTGGCATGCAAAAAGCTCAATTTATAAGACATCCTTGCCAAAATTCAAAATCGCACGCCCGTCGAGACTGTATCCATCCTTCCCATCATTTTTTGAACTTGTCTTGATCCATCTCACGCCAATCCCAATGAACAGTCTCCCAGATTTGTGCGCCACGCTTTGTTTCCTCCGTCTGGTGTAAAGATCGGCTTAGGCGTGAATTTGGTGACCAGCTAAGGCCAGAGAAATTCAACGAGAGGTGTGGTCATGGGAATGAGGACGTACTGGGTCTTACTTGAAGACTGAATGAGGCTTAGGTGGGATTCGATCTCTTTGGGAGTGAAAAGTTGATGTGGTGGAGTTTTTTGAATTATTGCCTCGTGGGTTAACTTGTTCGGTATTGCGTAATTTAACTGAACTTGGCTCAGGAAGAACATTTCACTCCCAGGCTTCGGGGTTATCGAGGAGAACCTTGATAGGGCCATCTCCTGCTAGTGTTACGGCAGCTATGAGGCTTTCCGGGCTGCCAGAAATTCCGCGTCATACACTTCAGCTCATAGCCTCGTTCCCGAAACCCATTGAATCAGCCTGATTGCTTCATATAAAGTGTAGCCCCAGGCAAATCTCTTTGAGCCGTTTGATGAGCCATCTGAATAGGCACTGTTGCAAATCTAGACTCAGCATGTATGAAGGCTTAGATTTCTAGGTATGATCATCAAGATCAATTGAGTTGGTTCGATTGAATATGATTAAGCTCAGTTGGACGAAATAAGATTCAGTGGCATCTGGAATGCAGTGGCTAGGAAATGCTACCTTGCGATAATTGAGTAGCTGGTTGTTGCTAGATCACTGGGAGTTCGGGATCTGTACTTAAGGACAGACTCATCTGTATATGTAAAAATAAGTTAACGGAGTATCATATATTATTAATTCATATTGAGAAGAGAGTTCGATATCACATACAACTATCAATAAATTCTTGTCCGAAATGGTACACTTGTTCTTCGAGATATTTCCTCCTAGAAATCCTTGACAATTTCTAACAGGCACACGTCAACTTTGGAGAGATATTATCTGTCTATATCCTTGCATAATCTGCCTTTTTTTTGACTGTTGAGACGAGATGTGTTCCTGATGGCCTGGCTTTTTGGGTATGGCAGTTCTCCGGGATTTTCGACGATCGGTACACCTAGAGCACCGTCCTGGAGCCGTGTAAGATAGAGCCCTGGAAAATAAATCGATCGAGCTTTCTGGCCTGTTCGGAGTTCCAGTCGCCTTATAAGATCTTTTGGTTTTCCTCTAGAATTTTGTTGGAAATTGTCGCCGGATCAATTGGTGTTGGTATACAGCAGAGCAAGTCCAGAATAAAATCAGTTAACTAACGAAGTCTAGAGCCGCTACGTCTTCTACATCTTGCTATTTACATAAGGGTCTTGAATTAACGACGCCGATCATAACAGCCTCCGTTGCTTGGCAACCGTTCCCAATCTACACTCTTGGTAGTCTCTTTAGCTGACTAGACCCTAGATTCTATCTGTACCGTGCTGGCGCAGCGCAGACAGTACACACATAAGGGAGTATTCCCGTAACAGAAATGGAGACATAGAGTGCTATGGACGTACGGGCCGTTTATTTCTTCTAGGTTCCCGGCACGATCTTGTGTGTATTTAAGAAGTTGCAATGGGTAATATGGTAGTGGTTCAGGCTACCTACTGGATACATGAGCGGCTGTATGGCGTGGGCACAAGTAGTTTATCGGGAGTTTTCTATGCCTAGATGGTGCCACAATCGTTTATGCTATGGCCTAGGCTCTGTATCACTTACACCTATAGTTATAGCACACATCTCCTACTCTTTCAGCTCTAATCAGAACATGACACTCTTTTAGTCAACCTCTTCTTTCGTTCCAGAAATGTTGTGCTAATTTCATCGTGCGATCTTTCCATCAGTTGTAGAGCTAGTGGATGCCATACCTCTTTTTGTTGAAAGTGCGTTTCTGCTCGGAGTTGTCTTTGTTCCAGAGGGGTTGCTGCTGGTGGAATACCCGACTCTCTCCGTAGAGCTGAATTTTGAGTTGTAACCCAAGCTGGGAGTGCCGCTTTGACAGCTTTTAGGATTTTCTTGTCCAGCAGATTTATAAGCCAGCCAGCCTCGGTGACAACTTTCTTGTCTCGCTGAGTGGTGATGTGGGATAGGCCTGATCTCCATGTTTCCGCTCCATACAGTGCCTTACTAAGGATTCAGGCGTTTACAGCTTTAATTATCAGCACTGGTGCTATGCCACGCTGAACAATATGAATCCAACGTAAAAATTGCGTTGGACGTTGTGCTTTCTCGCACCATTCCTGTACGTGCTGTTTAAATTTTATATGGGGCTCAAGCTATACTTCGATCCATCTCACGCGTCGGGATGGGGAGATATTGAGAATTTTAATCTAGAC